TTGCAGTCACTGAGGGGCAAGGGTCGTACGGATACCCTTCTCTAGGGGGGGAGGCAGTCACGAACCCCTGATCCGTGACGTGGTGCTTAACCCTGTGCTCTAGTCAACCTAGCTGAGGAATACTCTACTAGTTTAGAACATTGGCAGTGGAACTGACGCGATGCATCCAACAAAAGAAGAGAATTGATTTGTTTAATGATTTCTTGGTTTCAGGTTGTAGTTCATGAGTTCATTCCTCAATAATTTTAGGTTATGAGACTACAGTGATAGCCGTGATTCAAAGGGAATGGTTTACAATAATGCGGCCAAAATCAAATTGGAACCGTTTGAAGCCCTGAAAAAAAGGTGGGCTGCTTTGTCTGAGATGGAAATCGAATCGGTAGAATGGTGGCTCATCTGCGCAAACAACGTGTTTTACACTAAAGAAATAATAAATCTTGCAATACGAGCGGACTGCAGACAAAAATACTTCTCTTCACAAGAGATAATCTTCTTCCCACTTCCAGTGGAAATTTCAGAAGCGTAGAGACTATGAAATCTCCTTCTATTGAAGAACACATCTCCGGAATGGAGGATGTAAAAACGAGGAAATAAACGATGGAGCTCAAAAAACGCGCCTAGAACTCATGCGGAAATAAAATATCCTTCTAAGGATAGGTTCACATCTTACAAAAGGTCCAAAAAAGATCTGAAAAATTTTTTGATGCAAGGGCACTGAGAAGCACTTGCTCAAAAAAGCACAGCAGACACGGCTATCTTCAGCAAACAAAGGCGGCGTGGAAGCAAGTTGCACACTTATACCATGCCCGGAGATCGGCTCTCCTAATGGACAATCAGACCCTCCATCCCACAGGGACGGCAAGATGCTGAAAGATCTACTTGGGAGAATAATACAGTTGAATTGTCAATCGGCTGGCCTACAATTCATCCTATAGGCCACATAGCATTCAGTCAGCCACTACGATCTCGAATAGAAGTAGAAACCCGAGAGGTCAGCGGCGGAGCCTTCATCCTTCACTTTTACTCACCTGCAACCTGAGGAAGCATGTCTTGATTAAACAAAGGACATTAGTGATGTGGTAGCGAATGGCCCTGCTCAGCCATGTTTGTGGTCAAATCCCTTGATCGGCTATCACCTGATCTGACGCAGCCCTCAGTTTTTCAGGGTATGTGAATTGGCCGGACCCGCCTGAGAAGTTAAAGGCACTAACCATATCATACTTTAAAAAGCCACTTCGACCCCTAGTGGAAGTCGAATGCATGCCCCATCCCGAAAGGGATTGGTCAATGGTGAAAGCTTCATTGTTTTGTCTTTTTTATGTCTAAC